CCCCCCCCCCCCCGCCCCATTCTGAGTAAAGGATGTTTTGTTTATAGGGATCCTGGGGTTGGGAAAAAGAACTGTTGCATGTAGGTATTTTGTGTCCATATAACTACCAGGGATAGGAGGTTAGAATGCCAGAAGCTCAGTTTGGGCCCATTTTGATATAGTGATCTTGAATAGATTGTGGTCCTGTCTTAAAGTGCTAGCTCCAGATCAGAGTACTTACTTGTAGGGATCAAGATGATGCTTTGACAGGTTGGGTGACTAAAGAACTATACAACAGCAAAGAACCATGTGTAATTCCTGTTCTTCTATTTCTTTCCTATATCTGATGCTTTGCTCTCCTGGCCTTTTGTTCATGCAGCTTCCAAAGGTAAGAATGCAAAAGAGCCTTTTAGTTGGGTCCATTGAATATTAGAGAAAAGGATTCAACAACTGAGAAGGAATTTGTGTTCAGCAAATGGAAAGTAGAGGTTGAGGGTTGATTGATTTTCTAGTTTTGCTTTTCACTTTCCTAGAGTCCAAAAAGACCAGTAGCTATAGTGTTGACTAACAGAAGAAGGTTATTTCAAGTGGAAGCTTTCATATATGTTGTCTTCTTTGTAGGATGAGTGACAACTCAAGTAATAGTACTATTCCCTTACATATGTATGGTGGTCTACAGTTTTCACGTATGAAACAGGTGGATACTTGTGTTCCTTCTGCTCTGTAGCAAATACAGACTGAATAGTTAAGAGAGCTATCCTGAGGTTACATGACCAGATTCAGTTTTGACTTCCAGTTCATGGCTTCTATATAAATAGTAATTCCTGTTCAGAAGCCAGGAGTGGTGGCACACACCTTTAATCCCAGCACTTGGGAGGCAGAGGCAAGCAGATCTCTGTTGAGTTCAAGGCCAGCCTGGTGTACATAGTGAGTTCCGGGACAGCCGGGGCTATAGGGAGATCCTGTCTCAAAAAGACAAAAAAAACCCAAAAAACAAAAAAACTTGGGAAGTGAAGTTTCAGAGGACCCAGATCTCTTCATGGCAGCAAGGTTTACTTTGTTTCCAGTGCTTTAGATTTTACTAGTATATCAGTAAAAGACTTTCATCCTTAATTCTTTTCAGAAATCCTTTTCAGACATAGTCATTGAGAACTAAATTGAATATTGAGCCAGTTCAGTGTTTGGTTTGGGGTTTTTTTTGTGCTTTAGATTGAACCTAGGGCCTTAGTGCAAGGAACTGTCTCCATTGAGCTACCCCCTGCCTCTAATTTAATTTTGATACCAAAACAAGTGTCAGTTTACAAATCTCTCATAGTCTTAATACTGATAGTACAGTTAAATGAGATAAATACTAGTGACTGTGCTGTGAACATTCTACCTTCCAAATAGAGATATGAGTTAAATAACTTTTCTAGCCTACATAGACGACTTTTAAGTTTTTGTTCTAGTTCTTTGCTTCCCAGAAATGTGTGCTTGCTTTGGGAGCCTCAGAAAGTTTAGATACTGACAAAAACTGCAGACTTGCTTTAGTAACCATTTCATTTAGGCACAAATGTCCTTTAGTTGTCAGTGGCTCTTATGAGTACAAAAAAAAGGGAACAATGTGAGATTAGGGGAAGTAGGTTTACTTTCTGAGTTACGTGGGGCTGTAGAAGAAGAGGTGTATTCTTGTAGTGTAGTCAACCTTAGCAAAACTAGCCAGGTGGGGAAATAAACCATGCTTAAGTAGAAGCCCTGCTGAGGTGACTTTAGCACAGCAGCTGGTCAGTGTTGGTGCAGAAGTTATGTGGACACTAGGTTTTCTTCATATTGCATTTCCTCACATCCTAAAAACTTTCTGCTATTTGTTAAATATGCTCGTTTTACTGATACTTAAAAATTCCTGTATGCCTGTCAACTGCTTTAAAGAATACGTAATAAAGAAGAAAAATGACCTCACTCTGCACATCTGCCTCTTATAGTTAGAGATGCTGCCAACCATTGCTTTGCTAAAGTTCAAGAATATATGTGTCTCTATCTGGCCTGGTGTTCCACACCTGTAATCCCAGTTACTCAGAAGGATGAAACAGAATTGCTGGTTCTGGTCCGCTGGGCAAGTTTATGTCTGAAATAAACGTAAAGGGCTGGGGATATCTGCAAGTGGTAGAGCACTTACCAAACGTGTGAGGCCCTGGCTTCAATCCCTTGCACCACAAAGAAAGAGAAGGGAAGGAAGGAAAAGAGACAAGGAAGAAAACAGAATACGTGCACCTCTTACTAAGAGAAGATCTAAGAGAGGAGAACTGGTCCTAAAGTTGAAATGACTGGTTCTCCTACACATTCTCTTACAGATTTTGTTTCTTGTTTCTCAGCTCTACTTCTGGTAAATCAGAAATTTACTTAATTTATTCCTTGCTCGGGAATGTATTGAGTTCACGTTTATAGGTACTGTCCTTTCACTCCCATTATCTTTGTAGTTATCATAGCTGATACTTTGTTCTCCTGGCCTTTAATCATGGATTCTGTATATACTGCTGTTTAACTCCTTGGGAACATATCTAGTACTTAAATTTCATTTTAGTCTCTATTAAAAAGAGGCAATAGTCTAGTTAGGTTCTGAGGCCATTTTCATCCCAAACTTGTTACTGTTGTCCCCAAAAGTCAGAACTGTGGGCACCAACAGGTGTGTTTGCCTGTCTCCTGTTCTTGCCTGGTTTTCTTGTTTTGGTTTTAGGCTTCAATAGGAGCCTATGGAGGGGAACAAAGTAATCCCTTTCAAGATTTCAAGAAGAATCTTAAGGGTGTTTTTCATTTCCCTGTGACTTTTTTCCATCCATTAGGTGGCACTCAATCTGGTTGCATCTTTCTTAATGTCAGTGAATCTTTTATTGTTGTTATTGTTTCTTTGAGACAGGGTCTCACTATCCCTGATTGGCTTGGAACTAGCTGTATAGATTAAGCCAGCACAGGGAACTTCAGCAGTGGCCTCCTGAGTGCTGGGATTTCAGGTGTGTTTCACTACGCTCAACTAGTGTTAGTAATTTTTCACAGCTTCTGCCACATTAACTTTTAGAAACAAGATATCTATTCTATCCATTTCTAAATGGGTGATATCAGAACTAGAGGTACTATTCAGATACTTGTTGGAGTTGTGGTCCTTGAATTACTAGCTTGTGGGTTTTGAGTAAGGAAAAACTATTAACACCAAGCACTTGTGACCTGTATAATATTAAATAGTAGTCCCTTGTTATACAAGCCATAGACCTACCCTGTTAACTGAAGTTATAAGGAATCTTGCTTGTGGAATAATGTTCTACATGCATTCTGTATTACCATCTTACTATCACCAGTGGTGTAAAAATTAGTCCTAATAGTACCCATTCTCATACCCCTCTGTAATTCTAACCTTGGCATATGTCATGAACCTACTGAATCAAATATTTTGCCCATTTTTCATTATCACAGGAAGCTTCAGATTCTCAAGTCTCTCGCCATTGTCCATATTTCAATCCCTATAAGGTTCTCTGGTTTTTACTCTATGTCCCACCTAAGTTCCTGAAAACCTTTCATTGTGCTCTCTGGAATTCATGGTCTGTTACTAGCAGAATACTCTGTTATCACCTTGAAATGCAGCTGTCCCTCATCACTGCTTTCCCTTTTGCTCTCTCATTTTTTTCTTCTATCAACCTCAGCCTAGATGTCTAGAGTTGGGATAGATAGCCTTTTGGTTTTTGTCACCACTTTCAGAGCATTCTACCTTTCTCTTAACTAAAAACCTGCAGTTTCTAATCTCCTGATATCAGTTTATATCTCTCAGTTCTCCTGTTTGTGTGATCTACTGACACTACAAGTTACTCTTTATTTTCCTATAGTCTGAGCTCCTGACCACTCTTAACTCTTCAGCTCTACTTCTGATTTATTTTTCCATGATTTCTAGTTTTTCCAAAATTTATTTTTATTTCATGTGTATGAGT